AAAAAAAAAAAAAAAAAAACCCTTCCTTCTATAAGTTGCTTTGGTCATGGTGTTTTATCACAGAAACAGAAATGTAACCTAGACAAAGTTATAGTAGCAATTCTTACACTGGAACTATCACTTAAGGTAACTAAAAAAAAAAAATGCCAATAGTTGGACAACACTTTGGAAGTTTCTGGTTTAATTAGTATGGGATGAGTCCTGGGTATTGCTATATTTTCAGAGTTTCACATGAGATTGATTATAATCTATGATGAAGGTTGAGAATCACTGTTTTAATTTGTAGGTAAGTTTTTAGATTAGTGATAATGGAATTGGATTCAAGGAAACTTACAATTAAGAAGGGCTAAATGAGTAGAGAGCCACAAAAGTTTGAGACAGATGAAAACAGAGAAAAGAAAGAAGTTAGAAAAGAAGGGATTGGCACACCTTACATGCTTTCCCTGATAACGAGACTGATAACTACCTTATATGCCATCCTAGAGCCTTCATCTAGTAGCTGATGGAAGCAGAAGCAGACACCCACAGCTAAACACTGAGCTGAACTCCTGGAATCCAGTTGCAGAAAGGGAGGAGTGATGAACAAAGGGGTCAAGATCAGGCTAGAGAAACCCACAGAATCAGCTGACCTGAACAAGGGGGAGCTCATGGACTCCAGTCTGGTAGCTGGGAAACCAGCATAGGACCTCCCCAGACCCCCCCCCCAATGTGGGTGTTAGTTAGGAGGACTGGGCAGTCTATGTGGCCTCTGGTAGTGGATCAGTATTTATCCCTAGTATACAAATGGACTTTAGGAGCCCATCCCACATAGAGGGATACTCTCTCAGCCTAGACACATGGGGGAGGGCCTAGGCCCTGCTCCAAATTATATGACAGACTTTGAAGACTCCCCATTGGAAGGCCTCACCCTCCCTGGGAAGTAGAAAGGGGATGGGAGTTGGTGTGTGTGGGGGGAACAGGGGAGGAAGGGAGGGTGAGGGAACTGGGATTGACATGTAGCACAAGCTTGTTTCAAATTTAAATAAAAAACTAAAAAACTTAAAGCGAAAACACTTCTATTGCTTTCTAATAAAATTTACTATAGATTTAAACAAAACAAAACAAAAAAGACAGCAACCTAGTGGTTCTTATACTCCATAGGTCTAGGCATGATGCGGTTCAGTCTTCCTCCCCTTCTGTCCTCTCCTTCTGTTTTCACTTTGTTTTGTTTGAGACTGAATTTCACCATGTAGCCCTGACTTGCTGGGAACTCCCTATGTGGTCCAGGCTAATCCTGGTAGAGATGAGAGGCTAACTCACAGAGATCCACTGGGGCTAAAGGTGTGTCCCTGGCACATTCCAGCTGATCCCTTGTTCTTAAAGATATCAGATTCTTTTGTGAGAGAGGCATCTCACACCAACTCTAGAGCATTAGAAGAGGTCTTGACCAGTTAAGGGCTTTTGTTTATTTGTTACTTTTCTTCTCCTTTTCATTAAAAAACAAGATATTAGCAATTCTATAATATAGGTTGGGTTTAGAAACAGCCATCCCCACACCCATGCTGGGTCCAACAGAGAGCTTACATAGGTTGTGCCAATCATTGAGCCATATCCCCAGTCCCTTGTTTTTCTGAGATGGGGTCATGCCCTGAAGCTTAAGCTGGCCTGGAACTTGGTATGTAGCCTAGCCTAAGGTAGCCTTGAAATATCCCTTCTGTCTGTGGAACACTGAGTTTGTCATAATTATGGTTTACAAATACTTTTGTCAGAATTGAGACCAGCCCTTCCAGGAAGGTTAGCAAAGGCTAGAAGGAGAGATATTTTACCCCTAGATTTATCCTTAAAACGGTGAGAAGATGGAGATCTGACCTGTGGGTACCTTATTGTGGTCACCAAACCTGATAGGTACGTAAAATCTCTAGTCAGTCACATTGAAATACTTTGCATTTCAGCACTTAGTGGCCACCTATAACTGCATATAACTTTAGTTACAGGGGATCTGACACCTTCTTCTGGCCCCCTTAGGTATCAGGCACACATCAGGCATACATGCAAACAAAACACTCATACAAAAAATAAAAATAATAATATTTTTTTAAAAAAGCAAAACTGTAAAAGAAAAAACAAACAAACAAAAAAGCTCTACTTTCCATTAAAGCAGATGACCCAATCTTTATCATGAGAACAAGGACTAACATCCAGGGACAGCTTTATTGCCACAGGAAGCAGGCATTTTTCTATAGCCTGGACTGTTTACCTGAAGAGAAGCTATCCTCACTTTTTGAATCTTTCCTGAAAGACAAAAACCTCCCAGGGTTTCTGAGTCACCCATGGGATATCTGCTCACTCCACCCCTGCTGCCCAGGACCATGAGTTGGCAAGGATTTTAGAGAGCTTCTACTGGAAGCCTTGACTTTGGACTAGAAATCGCCTTCCCTGAATAAGAAGCAGGGGTGCTCTAGGCACGGGACAGGGAGGGAAGGGAAGCTTGACTGGGAGTTCACTGGTTTCTTGTGGATCTATGAGGAGGCTTCTTCTGTTACCTCATTAGTACCTCTTATGTGAATAGAATTGAGGTTTGAAAAAATAAGTAAGTTGTCTGTGCATTCAACACCCAAGAATGATAAGCCAGACATGGCGGTATATGGGTTTTAAATCACAAGCCAGCCTGACTAAATAAAGAGATTTGGACTATATAATGAAACAAATAAACAAGCAGACATTCCCCCCCCCACAGACACCAGACACCCTCAAAGCCCAGTTGTCCCACTACATGGCCCTTCGGGTTCCTGGACCCCTAGTTTCTAGCCCAGCTCTGCTTCCGCATATTGTCCTTCTCGGGAAAATTGTGGTTAGATGTCACCTGCCTTAGTGCTTTTCTCCTACAGAATTAGGCTAAGACCTGAATACATGACCCTTGTCTTTGGGTCTTGGCTTCCACTCTGATTTGAGGATGTGTGAAATTCATCCTTAGTGTGAGAGTGGAGGGTTGTTCAGAGAGCTGTTGGATAGGGTACATGAGAACAATTACATTTAATGTTGGAAAGCTCTATACGACCGTATTTTCATTGCAGATATAATTTCTCAATTATGTCTTATCCTTAGAGGAGAGAAAGGAAGAACTGAGTGTACTCCAGGCTCACACCTAACAGCTATTAATCCTAAAGTCTCATGTATTGACATGACATCTTGACATACATTTCAAGCTTTAGCTGGGGCCAGTGTACAAAACCATTTGTAATTCTGACGTCAGAAACTCATTTCCAATTCTTTGGGGGCCTTCTGAGGTCTGGGAAACAAGCTGGCAGAACATGAATATAATACACACTAAACAAAACAGAGAGCCTGGCTGTGACGTGGCAGCCCCAACACTTGTCAAATTATAAACTGTGCTCAGCATTGGGGGTGTGCTTTGGACAGGGTCCAGGACTCAGATGTCTCTCCTATCTCCTGCTCTTCCTTACATTCCTGGTGTTATGGGACCTCCTCAGAGCAGCCCAGTGCCAGCACATGATAGAAGTAGGTGATCGAGGGCCAATGTGCTAACACAGACTGTGGTTCTTGAAAAGATGAGCATTTCATGATGTCTTGGTGCTAAGTTCTTTGCTAACCCGTAATGGGGGAATAGTGGCTGAGGAAAAGCAAGGCTTTGGGCAAGGTAGACAGGATGTATTTGTTTAGACTTTTCACCTTTGAACAGTAGTAAGGCAAAGACAACCTGTCTCCAATGTGGGGACCAGTTAGGACGATGAGACTGAGTTTTAGGAAAGACTGCAATCAGGGAAAGGAATGGAGGCCAGGAGTCGCCTTCTCTGGGATTTCTTAATCACAGGGTTGGGAAGGGTAGGTATCAGAATTGAAAGGTGGAGATGGTGGGGGTGTTGAGACCTGTGTGAAGATGCTTTTGAAGCGGTACTGTTCTAGGTAAGTGGCAGGTTACAGGGTAAATAATACTAGCAGCAGTGTAATAATACTTTTGCTTTCACTCACTCGGAGGGCAATCTGGCCTTCCCACAGTCACTTTATGGTGGGCTCACCCCTGTTGGGTTCCTTCCCGCTTTAGGAACTCTGACTGGTTTGTTTCTTAGTGTGAACTGAAGTGGGAGTGCCTTAAATGTGCCAGATATTTTGTGCTAACCTACACTACTCCCTGGATACTATCTGCAACTCTCAACTATCCAAAAGTACTAGGGTGGAGAGCTAGGAGTTCCACACCGACCCAGACAGTTTTTACTCTAGGCTTCCTGGGAGAAGCCCCCCCCCCATCCCCAAGGCCCAAAGTCGTGGGGCCCACGTAGCTGTCTCCCCCTTCCCTGTTCCCGTTCCCGTAGGGCAGGATTCCCTTTGTAATTAATCCCAACACTCAAACCAGAGGGGAGGAAAACGTGTTAATGAGCGAGCGTCCCAGTCTGACTAGGCGGTCGTCGCTCACAGCTAGAACACCGAGTAATTAAATTATTTTTTTGAAGAAGGGGGGCGGGCATGGTGGCGATGGTGTCAGGGAAATTCCGTATACATGAGAGAAAGGCCTGTCTCTTGTCACTAATTAAAATCAGGGATGACCCTTTTCTCAGCTCTGTGCCGGGGTGTGCGGGGGGAATCACTCTTTCCACGTCTCAGATTCCATTGGATTTTGTGTGGCCGGGTTTGTGGTCTCAAAGAAGAGAATATGGCCAGCATCAGGGCCTAGAAGAAAGGTCTTCAATGGAGGGGTGTGTGTGTGTGTGTGTGTCGCAGAAGACAGTTCCAAGAGGGGCTGCGGGATGGATCAAAGCCAAGAACTGAGGCAGCATCAAGCCCACCTTCTTGGCCAGGTCCGCAAACCCGGAGTGGATTCCCAGGATCCCGAGGGCGCAGGGCATGGACAGGCGCAGAGCTGGGGCAGCCGCGACTTGGGGAAGAGCCGGGCCGCAGACAATGGACGCAGCGGCGGGAGGGGCGGCGGCTGCGGGAACAGCCGGGAGGCGGCACCTGGGAGCGCGCTCCCCGCCCCTTGCCCCCTCCTGTCCCCTCCCCCCGTCCCCTCCCCCTCCGCCGCCGGCTCCAGATCTGATTCCTGATCCCCGATTGCTTGGTCCTTGGTCCCGCCATGGGAGCCTGAGCACCCTGCAGTCCCCCGGCCCCCTGCCCCCGGGGCCTCGAGGGGGAAAGAGGCGAGTGGTCTGGGACGGAGCCGGGGTGAGCGACCTCAGGAGCCCCCCTCGACAACCCCCATCGGCCGCACTGCCCGTCCTGGAGCGCGGAGTTCGGAGCGACCCGGTGCGCTGCGGATACAAAGGCGCGGAGCGGAGCGGGGCGTGCGCCTAGTCCACCCGGCTGTTCGCAGCGGCGGGTGAGTGGCGGGCCGCGGGGGCGCGGGCAAAGTTTGCAAGAAAAGAAAAGAAAAAAAAAAAAAAAGGAAAGAAAGAAAGCAGCAGAAAAAAGAAGGAAATCATGCAAAGGACCAGGGAGCGCCCGGCCCTGGAGAAAGCAGGGTGGCTTCTGGGGGAAGGGGGACTTGAGGCAACCCCCTTCCGGTCTGTTCTCCACTGCTCAGCCGAGTACCCTCAACTTTGGGGAGGGGAAGGGGCGAGTGGGGAAGGGGCGGAGCCCAGGCCTTAAGAGCCGGGGACTTTCCTGGGCCGGGGGCCCGGGTCGGGCGCTTGAACGATCCCAAGGGAGCCCATTGAAGCCGGGAATTGGGAAGCGTGTGTTGGAGGTGGTGGGAGAGGCCGTGGAAGGATCGGAGGCTGGAGGTATTGTAAGCTGAAGGTATGTAGGGATGCATATACACCTTTGAAGTGTGGGGAGGGAAGGGGCAGGTATATGTTCAGGGTGTAGAGTGGATCCCTGAGAGATGGCCCTGGACAGCAGTGTGTGTGTGTGTGTGTGTGTGTGTGTGTGTGTGTGTAGCCCAAGCAGTGTGTGTGTGTGTGTGTGTGTAGCCCAAGCAGAGTGAGTGTGTGTGTGTGTGTGTGTGTGTGTGTAGCCCAAGGATGCGACTTGCACCGGGGAATGTGTGTCGGGGTGTGGAGGGGGAGACGACATCATCTCTCTCCCTCGTCCTATTTACATATCGAAGGTCTTGAGCACTACATTAGTGAGTTTTAAGGGTTGATAGGGGGATCAGTATGCATGACTCTTTGTGTGTGTGTGTGTGTGTATGCCTTGATGTGCTGCATGTTCCTGCAGGTGGGCCCTGGGTTTGGATGTAATGTTTCTCCTTCTCCCTCCCCCCCTCTTTCTCTCTCTCTCTCTCTCTCTCTCTCTCTCTCTCTCTCTCTCTCTCTGTCTCTGTCTCTCTCTCACTCACAGAGAGAGAGAGAGAGAGAGAAAGATGACCACATATCTGCTATGTGTTTAGGTATGTATGTATTTGTGTGTATACTCTAGGGAAGGGGTGTGTATCTGTGTGTATGTGCTGGGAAAGGGGCTTATAGAAAAGAGGTGGGTAGCTATTAGAGAAGGTGGGTTTTTAAGAGCAGAAAGGATGGTATATGTGGGTAGGTATGTGTGCACCTGTGTGGTGAGGTGCGTGCGTGTGTGTGCGCGTGCATGCGCGTGCGCTCTTGTGAGTAACCTGTACTGATGGGTAGATGTCCATGTGTGTGCCTGCCTTTGCTAGGGTGTGTATTTTTGAGTGTGTTTTGGGGGTACCTCTTGTCTGTGCAGGCAGATTTTTCTGGCAGAAAGCCCACATGGAAGGTTGTTTGCAGGATTTGAATGGCTCTGTCTTGATTCAAGGGTAGTGTCTTGTGTATCTGAGACCCTAGTGGGGATTGTGCATTTGGGGGGTAGTGTGTTGTCTTAGGTCGTGCTTATTTGGAACTTATGTGGGCTTTTCTAGAAGACAGTGTGTATTGTGGGGAATGGGGAATAGATTCAGGGGAGGTGGAGGGGCTCTGTAGTCCTAAAGAAATTTTGGGGTTCAAGAAGTCAACACAAATAAGAGTAGTGACCTTCCCCACTGTTACAGGATGTACTCTTTGAGGCCGCATGCTTGGCTTCCCTGCCCCAGTTACTTTCTCCGAGGTCACAGCTCTCTTGGAAAGCCATCTTGAAGGTGGCTACTTCAGAGCCCTCCAACTCTGCCCTGCCTCTACGATCCTGAGGCGTGTGGGCTGGAGGCGAGAAGAAGCATGCTCCCTGGCATGAGACCTGGGAGGAGCTGCAGGAGTGAGAGAGTGATGTGGGGCTCTTCTCTGGGAGTTTCTGCAAGTGTGTCCGTGTAATTTATCCTGCAGTTTCTTGATGAGAAGCACTCTTTGGATGGTGTGGGGTGTGTGTGTGTGTGTGTGTGTGTACATGTGTGTATATGTTTGTGTGTGTTCTTGTGTGTGAATGTGAGTTCACATGCACATATATGCTTGTGTTCCTGTGTGTGTGCGTGCTGGCGCTGAGCTTGCCAGAGGCCACATGTCCATATGGTGGGAAGGGTCTGTGTTCATCATCATGAGAGAGGGTGGGAAGTCAGAGGCCATGAAGATTTCTCTTCCTCCCTGAGAAGTAGCAGCAACCTCCTTTTTCTCTTTGCTCTTGTTCATTCTCTTTTTGGGGTGAAGGGAAGAAAGGGGTGGTTATCTCCTCTGGGACCCAAGTCTTGTTCCCAGCTGCATGTTCTCAACCATTTTTCTCTTGCTGCCAGAGGTTAGTTAGGCGGAGACACCGGTTTTAAGAAAGGGGCTGTAGTTGCACATGCCCATTAGAGTCCTGGGTAATTGCAACTGGAATGTTGGTCTCTAATGGGCATGTGCAGTTGGAATGTTCCATCTTTAGCCCTCAGAGCTCCCTACCCTTCATAAAGCCTGGGGATAGAGTGGAGAGCTTTAGAAACTGTTGGACTAGGAAGGGGAGGAGCAGGGTAGGAAAAGACTAGATTTCCCCCCCCCCCCCCCCCCGCTTCATTTCTTCAAACTAGACACCTATCAGATGGTTTTTCCCAAGCCTGCAAAGCACTTGTGTCTAAGGCAAGTGCCCTGGCTTTCTGGCATACCTTATTTGCTCAGTCTATGCTCCCTACCAGCAGGAGTTGTCCTCCAAGCAGGAAGAATTGTGGTTAGATGATAGAAAGTGCCATTTCAAGAAATACTTCCAGACTGGGAACCAGTGGCCACGTTGGCCCCTCCTTCTCTTTTGTCTTGGTCCTGCTTTCTACTTTCTCTGGTTCCCACCCGGCTGCCTCCCTTTCTTTTTCTTCCTGTGCTCTCCACCTTCTTGTAGGACTTGAGGAGGAAGATCCTGCTTTCTCTGGCCCTTTATTCCCTCTGAGCCTCAGGGAATACACTTTCTTTTGCTGGCTCCTCCACTATGAGGACAAAAGGAAGAGTCCGTTTCACTTAGTGCCAAGAGCAATGTAACCCGATGGATGTAACTAAGCTTCATTCCTTAGCCTCCTAGGTGTTTTAAGACACCATCCTCCAAGCCCACTCTGAAGCCATCCACAAGGAATCCCAAGTCCCCCTCCCTGCACTGTGCCCCCTCTCCTGTGTTGACAGTTTGCTCTTAACTTCTAGCTTTGCCGCATTCTAATTCTGTGACCTCAGACAACATGGATAACTTTTGTAAGCCTCACCTGTTAGCTGGGGTTGATGGCAAGCCCTAGCTCTTAGGTTTATGAGCCTGGGAAGAGTGTGTTGCTCAGTGCCTTGGCACAGGGGAAATGACTTAGTGAATGGTGATGTAGTAAGGGATGGAGGTATGGGCAGTAGGGCGGGGGAGTGAGCTTACTTTGTGCTCTCCTGGCAGATCACATTCAGCACAGTCCGCTTTCTGCCAGGTGTTGTGTGAAGCACGGGGGATGGAAGGGTGAAGAAGACACTGTTCACAGGGGGAAACGTGCTTGAACATGTCGATCCCTGTAAGCCCCTGAGTGCCGGATGGAGGTGTCTTCTGGCGGCCCTTGCAGTAGAGTTTGGTTCTGAGGTGGAGTGTTGGGAAAAGTTCCTGAAGGACATTAAAGAGAATGGGATATAGTGCACATATACGATACTGTGCAACTGTTTCTGTCTAGTGGTGGGACAATTGCACTAGCCTTGAAAGAAGTGCAGACACATTAAGCTGTAGACTCCAGTGTCCTCCTGTTTAGTCCCAGGCCACCACCAACCTGCATTCTGTCTCTGTTCTGGCTATTTCCTCCAAATTTCATCATTTAAGTCTGGCTTCCTCTGCTCAGCATGTTTGCAAGGCTTATTCATGTGGCAGCATGTGTGTATATCACCCTTTTTTATGGCTTAGTAATATTCTGCTACATGCATATTCCTTAGATGATCTATGTGTGTGTGTGAGACTATCTATCTATCTATCTATCTATCTATCTATCTATCTATCTATCTATCTGTGTATCTATCTATCATCTATCTTGAAGACATGTCTTGCTTTTTGCCTTTGGCTGGGCTGGAACTCATAGACATCTGCCTGCTTTTCTGTCTGTGCCATCATGCCTGGCCCTTTGTAGCCCCTTTTAAAGGACAGAAGACAGGGAGAGAACAGGGAGAGGCTTGCTGGTAGAGGCTGAACATGAACAAAATCTATGGTGTGTTTGGTACTGCTGGATCTTGAAGTATGAAGTGAGGATTTGGTCTCAGTTTCCCTAGCTATAAAACAAAATTAACAAAATGTCCTGTGGTGTTTGTTGGTAGAAGTGGCTGCATCAGGGAGAGAAACTGGGATAGTATTGTCTCTTTTCAGATTTTTTTTTTTTAACTCACTCTTTCCTCTTCTCTCCTCGAAGTTCCCACCTGTGTGCTTCTGCTCTCATTCCCGTGCAAATTCATCTTCCTGCTTTGCCTCCAATCAACCTCCTCTCTCTGAGTTGACCTGAAGCCTCCCACCCTCTATAGGTGGGTAATCCTGTGCTCCATGTGGTTTTGATAACAGTGGTGCAGGTGGACTCTGTCTATCCTGCTTGGTTTTCAACAGCCCTTCTCTGCTGTGATCTGGACAGAACTACAGTGGGCTGTGCAGTATCTTTTCATCTTTTATTCCCCCCCACTTCCCCGCTTGGTACAGAGTGGGAGGCACAGGCTTCTATGGTGAGGCCCTTTGGAAATGAGCTGTTGCAGGGCCAGTCTGATGCCCCTGGCAAGGTTGGTAATTACAGACAAGACAGCTGGGAATGGGGTTTGGGAGAAGCAAGCTTGGAATCAGTAGCACTGGGGCTATCCTGGTAATCAGGGTGGGGCCCTGAGAGGGGAGAGTGGGCAGTAGCTAGGGGCTGGGGTGGGGCAGGAAGCTTGGGGCCTCCTTCCTCTGCCCATCAGTGAATAGGTAGGATGGTATTCTGAAGAAGAATGAGAAACCATTGGATCCTAGGCCTGACCTCACTGAGGAAAAGGGAGGAGGAGAAGAGAGAAG